TTCTTCTTGAAATAAATTAAAATGCCTTATGGTCTGTTCACTTTGCTTTCTTCTTGAAATAAATTAAAATGCCTATGGTCTGTTCACTTTGATTCAGGCATCTCTCGTTTTGTGAAACCCTTGTTGCTCACTAGCTTCTGTCTCAAAGTAGCCATCCATTTGTGCATTCTGCCTTTGGGGTACGTGCTACAAATAATGAGACTGGCTTTTTGGCCTAGTGGCACCTAGAAGGGTTTCTCAGGCCTTCCCTGCTCTCGGTGCATAGACATAACAAGTGAAGCACACAGCCTTCCCTTCAGTTTCCCCAGCAGTCTAAGTAAGAAGAGTGACTGGCTTCCTGGCTCTGTTCTGGCTCTTTGACTTCTATCTCTTTCAGCTCTTTGCCCTCTTTTTGAATTTTTTTCTATATTTACCGTCATCTTTTTTGATGTTTCCTTAGAAACATCACTTGGATCTTCAAGGCATTTGTTTCTTCAGTATAATCAAGAGACTTGTTGAACCACCATGTTGTACTTCCTTTCAATGTGGGCATTTGCTTTGATTGTACTCTCAATCCTTGAAGTTGTTGAAAGCACTGACCTCAGCACTGGTCCTCCTCCTGGAGCTTGGAGCAGCTTCTCTGCCCAGCCCGCAGAGTTGTCTCAGGAATGGTGATCCCCACGGCCCTTGTGCCTTGTCTTACATGATCACTTGGTCCTCTTGGGTGCAATTTTTGGCCCAGTTCAAGTGTCCCAGTAAGAACCACTCATGCAAGACCTTGCATCCAAAGGGTTAAGAAAAACGTCCGAGACACTCGAGTCCCAAGTGTCGAGTCGACACTTGTCCCAAGATGTTCATTTAGCAAAGACACTGATTGATCACATCACAGGCACTGAATACTCTCCAAAGTAGCAAACACTGGGACAGAGGGAGCAGTGAAATCCATCCTTTCCGATTTGAATGCGTACCTCTGAGCCAGCCTAACAAAATCTTTCCTAGCTAATCGTGAAGTTTCCTAGGATTGAGTCCAAGTCTGATAGCATTCCATGGGATACTCCTCTCGATTCCCATTTGCTTCCTTCCTGTTTAACACATTGGAGAAGAGGTGATACCCCAGGAGACCATGATCACGAGTAGTGCTCCCGGGCGAATGAAGTTCGGACAACTTGGCTCTACCCTTCTGGCTTTAAAGTTCAGCTTTTTGAGTGCTAAGCATGTGATCACGAGTGCTGGCAACCAAAACCAGTATTCATAGTGTGCCCAGTACCTTCTTCTCCAAAGGAAATTAAGACCTGAGTTAAGTATCTACTGATTAGTGTGGCTTTTCAACAATTTGTGGGTTAGCCACAGATTTTTAGATAGAAGTAGGTTTGCTCTTCACCAGGACTCTTTGGAGTATTTTGGTCGTGTACCCCTTCGCTCCCCAGGTGTGTTCCTGGCAATGAGTGCCACCTCACGGAGGTGACAGGCTGAGAGGAGCTGGTGTGAAGTGCATCAGACCTATGTATGTGGGTGCCAGTTTCAGGCAGGCAGCCAGGATTGCAAGAGACTTTGCAGATATGTTAAGGTGAAAATAATTCCAGTCTCCAATACCTGCAGGGCCCAGCTAGAATGGAAAGTTACCCTTTGTGTTGTGTTTGTTCATAGACCTTTAGGAACTTCTCTGAATTTCAATTGTCTCTTAAGAGTAACCAGATATGGAAATTTCTGCTGCTTCGTTATCTCATGGACCTTTCCGTTCCTCCTTGCTTCCAAATCTGTCCATTGTCCTCAAAATTCATAGAGCAGGAGATTTCCATATCACACAAATAAAAACACAGGCGTTTTTATTTAATTTTTCTCATTGCAACAAGGAAATACTTGACGAAGTCAAAAGACAGCAAAGATGGTTGTGTTTGAAGAAAAAATTAACATCTTGTGACAAAAATATTCAGCTAAAGCCAACATCTTAACCATACTCTGGAGTCAAATGTTTGGGAATGTTGAATTTTGTTAGTTTTAACATAGATAGTTGGCAAGTTTAATCTATAAATACCTGCTAAGGGCTTTTGCATGCTTTTTGAGGTATGTTTTTTGTCAACTGAAAGCAAGTCTCTCTTGGCCAGTATCCTGCATGTGACAACTATCAAAACGAATTTCTGTTGTTGAGTGGTATTTGTGTGAGCCTTATTTGTGTGGTACCTTATTAGGGCACATGATGATGTTTGATTACAGACAGGTTTTAAGGCACAAATGCTATAGGCTAAGACCATCTTTGCTCTGGGAGTGCTATAGGTAAACATTTGCATAATGAATTGGAAAGGGGATCTCCAAGGGAACATGAATAACGTGAGGGAGTTGTTTGCTTGCTTTAACTGTACTTTTTCTACACTTGTAAATGTTTAATTTTATTTAATCTAAGACTTTGGATTTTCTAGTGCTTATCTGCTTAGCACAGAATAAATACCTTTTTAGATACTATTCAGTAACCTCAGAATTGAGCATGCCTTGATCTAAAGCAATGCGAATGCTCCGAAGTGTTGATAGTGTGAGCAGCACTCCTCAAAGTCCTGAGCTCCAAACTTAAGGTGGAGCATAAACATTTTTTCAGAAACTTGAATGCCAATGTTGCTAAATGCTTCCTGTTCTTTTAAATCAGCATTGATGATGCACTTCAGGTTAAGATTACAGACAATGCGCTCTCGCGGGACCTATTTCCTATGGATTACCATTGCCTGGGAGATAATGAAAACAGACCAGTTCGATGGATGGCTCTTGAAAGTCTGGTTAACAACGAATTTTCCAGTGCCAGTGATGTGGTAAGTTTTTGTTTATTTTTTCTTATTTACTTTTGTAAAGATATTTGCTATTTTTCCTCTTAAAACCTGTTTTTTCTCCCAGAAATTGAATAATAATGGCATTGAATAGTGTCTTACACAGCAAAGCATCTGTACATCTGCTTCCAGTCCTGTGGTAGATGGCTTCAATGTCAAGCAGCTCCTGGTTCTCAGACATTTCCTCCTTGAATGAACGGTTCTTGAACACTTCCCCCAGTCTCCCCTAGGAGAAGGGCTTTGAGTTTGGGCTGATAGAAGTTCAACCTGGCCCCCAGGGATCCCCAAGTCATGTACTACAAAGCTGCTTTCTAGCCAGTCACTCCTGGCCTGCCCTCTTGCACGGGGCTTATCCATCCAAGATGCAGGACTTGACATTTGCTTTTGTTGACCTTTGAGGTTTCTCTTAGCCGGTTTCCTCAGCTTCTTGAGGTCCTTCTGAAGAAGTTTGGTCCTTGAGCCTGTCAGCCATTCTGCCTGTAAAATATCATCTCCAAAATTTCTGACTGCCCTTTGTCAGGTTGTTAATATAGACATCAAACAGTGTTCCAGAGCAGTGCCACTAGTAACCAGCTGCTGGTTGGACCGCAACTGCTGATCACACCAATCTGAGTCCAGCACCTCAGCCACTTCACTGCCACCTTGACTACAAGGATGCTTTGGAAGATGGTATCAAGGGTCTTGCTAAAGTCAAGCTCAACATCCATCCCCTTCCCTGTGTCTACCCAGACCATCGTCTTGCTGAAGAAAGTCAGGTTAGTCAGGCACAATTTGCCCACAATAAAGTCCATGTTGACTGTTCACAGTCACCTTGTGCTTTGTGTGCATGGAAACGGCTTGCAGCATAATTAAGAATTAATAGTGTTGGTCTATAACATATCCCTGAATCCTGTCCCTTACAAAGGGTGCTTTCTTCCAGTTGTCCACGGCCACCTCTAGTTGCTGTGACCTTTCAAAGGTAATAGCAGCACTGCAACCACTTGGACCTGCTCCCTCCGCACTCTTGGATGCATCCAGCCTGTCCAGAGAGACTTGTGTCAATATATCCCTCTTGGGTAACTGTCTCTTGCTTCTGCCTTCTGTTTCCTTACTTTTTAGTGTCTGATCATAGTCACGACACCAATGCTGGCCTTCCACTGTGCTTGCTGGACTGCCTGCACGTTAGAACAGACTTGTTTTGTGCTTGTAGGAGGTTGTCCTTGAAGGTGAACCTGCAGGAACTTGAGCACTAATTAATGATAAAGCACTTGTCCCCAGGGACTGTTTCCCTGCTGGAGGGGCACTTCCTTTTCTAATGACATTTGCCTTAACATGCAACTGTAATTGTAATGTCCTTAAAATATAATTGTTTAGAAAGCTTCAGGAAAACAAGATCTGGTTGTATTTATACATCTCTTGCATGAATAAAGTTGTCTGAGCTTTTTCCCCCTCCTTGCTGGTGTGCAGAGCGAGGGGGCGCAGTGGAAGGTGTGAGCTCTGCCAAGAAAGACATCTGTACTTGCTGGAAACCAATGTGCTTTTTGTCATAACAAACTTGGAGACAGACCAGGAAATGAAAGTTGGCTATAAGAGCACCTTTTAGAGTACCAAGCAGAATCGATTAATATATATTGATTTCTTCTTACGTTTTTAAATGGGGAATATTAGTGTTCCGTGTTTATGAAGATTGGAATTGGAAATGACAGCTTATAAAACACTGCCAGTGAAATGCAGAGTATTAGTAGGGTGAAGGCACTTCGGTGTCGTGTGTGATTCGCCCTGTATCCCAGCCCATCTTAACACGATGCTGCATGTCTTGGAGTCAACACTGAGTGTTCAGCTTCAAATATAATGTACAGTGGGGAAAATAAAGTGTGTGTCATTACTGCTCACCACATGGACAGGGTATTCACTGGTCTGATTGCTGCTGCTGGCTGTCTCCCATGGGGGTGAAACTTCCCCATCTTCCAAGCCTGACTTTATCAAACTGAAAATGCACACTGTGGGTTTTACTGCATTTCCTGGCATTGAAGGAATTGGAGGCTTATTCTCTTAAGGATAAATTACAGTTATGAAGGTGCCTTCTAGGCTGAAGGCTGTCCAAAATGAGTCAGAGGAGAAGGTAAGCAAGTTCTCAAGGCGCATATAGATTCTCTGCTCTTTATCTTTACTTCTTTGTCAGGCGAAAGAACCCAGCTGGAGTACAAACTTCTGTTTTATGTTATATAGGGATAATTGCAACTCAGTTTCTAATGAGCAGTTCATGTTTCTTAACTGCTTGAGTTTCATAGCATGCAAAAATGAACAGTTTTTCCAGGCATAGAAGGCTTTACCCTAAATCTGTTCTTCATGTTCAGCTGGAAACTCTTCATAAAAATGCAGGAATATATTTTTGTCTGCTCATTCAGAATAAATCTAATTATTGTTTGCATGAAACTTATAGTGGGCGATGAAATCTGTTGCAAACATTTTAGCTACTGTCTGTTAAAATGCAATCAGCATGTGTTCTAGCCTGGCTTTTTGGATGCATTTATTTTTAATGTCAATTTGCTGGCTCAAATGGCTTCTGATGTGTTCCGCCACTGCCAGCAGTTACGCTATTCAGCTGAAACATGGAAAAACAAAACAATTCCTGATGAATTTTCACCCTGCTTCCTCTTCCCTCCTCCCCTCATGGATGTGAAACTGTTAGTTTTTGTGGCGTTTACATGCAGTTTAATCCTGGGATTAAAAATAGCTACATTCTTACAGTAGCTTTGCTCGAATCACCTTTTATTCAAGATGCAATATTGCCCATCTCATTCTCCTTAACCTGCAGAAAGCCACAGAATGCCCCCCTGTGCCTTTCCACACTGCGATCTGTTCAGAATGGGGCTTAATGTGTGCCCCTGCCATACTCTATTTCTGAGCTTTTAATCGTGCCCAGTGGCAACATCCTCTCATCAGCTGCACCTTCCCCCAAAAAAGAAAGCCCAACACTTGTACGGAAGGCCATAGTGCCAGTTTTTAATATACCATGATGGTTGCAGCACTTGTCATTTGTGCATGGTGAGAATTCACAGCTTATCAGCATCATCTGTTTCTTCTCTTTGGACTCTCAATACCAGCCAGAAAATCATTTTCATTCCACTGTGCTTGTGCCTGAAGTGCCACTTTGGTCTTCCATCTTTTTAAGCCTCTAGCAGGGATGTCAGGCGCACAAGGTGTTGGAACGCTCATCGAGCTGGCAGGTTTATTTGGGTTAAGTCTTTGTTTTTCTTGGGAGGCCAATGAGAAAAATGATGCTTTGATACAGTCTCCTCCTCTGAGCTTTGGAATTTCTTGCCCCTTACTTGAGGAATTCTTTATAGTGTTATGAAGAGTTAGAATAGTAAAGTTTTAGGGTTTTTTTGGTGTTTCTTAGATCTGTTAAGTGTTTAGAAATGGCAGACAGAAGAAATAGAGTAAATATATATTTTTAGCAAGTATGTTAACACCTGTTCTGTGTTTCTTAACCGGCCCTATTCAATGTGCCGATGTTTCTACTTGAACTTGATGTTTGTGGCATTTATGTAGACTCCTTTCCCCTGACTGTAGGACTGTGTTGATGCGAGTGTGTTGTGCTGTGTGGGAAGGAGCACTGAGTGTGCACTCGCTCTCTTTCTAGTGGGCCTTCGGCGTCACGCTGTGGGAGCTGATGACTTTGGGACAGACTCCGTATGTCGATATCGATCCCTTCGAGATGGCTGCTTACCTAAAGGACGGCTACAGAATCGCTCAGCCCATCAACTGCCCCGATGAACTGTAAGTGTGTGCTCACTGCAGGAGGGGGACGTGTCTGGCTGATAACCAGCTGATGAAGGCAGCTATGTTGATGGAAGAGCCAAGTCTGCCTTGTCCCTAGCGTAAATGCTTGTGTGGCTTCACAGTGACCTGCATTAAGGAGCTCACGCAAGCTAAAATTACCGTTTTTGATGTTACTGAAACGGAATTCAGATATTCACATCACACACTATAGGAGCTTATTCTGAATCTTAAGACATAAGGGAGAGTGCAGGAGCGCAGGCACTGCCTTCTGCCTGCCATGTCCATCCAGTTGTCCTTTTTTCAAACCTACCACACTTTCAACTTTCAACCTACCACTTTCAACTATGCACTAAAAGGACTTCAGTTTCCCTTAAATTATGTACTGCTTTACCCTGGATTGTTTTTGACAGGTTATATTCAGAATCGAACCAGCACGTACAGTCATAGCACACTTACTCATCATTCCAGCTATCTGTCTTTAAAGAATTGTTCAGCATAGTGTGTTAGAAGATAGACAGGTCCTCTCTGGTCAGCAGGTTTGCTAGTGGCAAGTGTTTCTCCCTGAGCTTTGGGCCTGTGGTTGCCTGCTGTATGTTCTGAGGCCTTCTGCTTCTCTTTGTCTTGCAGGTTTGCTGTGATGGCCTGCTGTTGGGCCCTAGACCCTGAGGAAAGACCCAAGTTTCAGCAGCTGGTGCAATGTCTAACTGAATTTCATGCAGCATTGGGAGCCTACGTCTGAAACTCCAGAAAAGATTGAATTCAGTAATTGGGAGAAGAGATGGCATGCGTTTCCAGCTCCATACGTCACTCGGACTCATACACGTGATGTGTATAAAGCAACACTAAAGGGAGAAAGCACTTCTTCCAAAACACTGTGCCTTAGAATGCTTTAGTAGCCTGAAGGTTTTTTGTAAGACCTCTTGATGTTGAATATTTTCTAGATATCACTTTTGCTAAGTTAAATCAAGACCTTTTTATTTGCCAGCAGGTTTTTTTTTTTTTTTAATGTAGTGATAGTGAGTGAATCTGAACACAAGATTTGGATGGACTTTGCACTGTTACAACCGACACTTTTTTTTTTTTTTTTTTTTTTTGGAAGGGCATATGGAGCTGGTGGGAAAGGAGGATAGGGGAGATTAATGCAAAAACATACTGCAGAAAACTTTCCCTGCTTTTTGAAGTTAAATCGTTATGACCAACTCTAGTTTTGTTCTTGTATGTATCTGGAATAGCTTTTTAGTATCAGCTGTTTCTGAGACAACAGCACATTGTGGTTGGACCCACAAGCGGCATCATTTTCTTTTTATTTTTTTTAACTCATTCACAAACAACTTTTGGAAAAGCTGGTCTTCAAGATGCAATATCCTCTCTTTAAAGCTGCAAGCAGTTATGTAAAAGTGATTCCAGTTTACCTCATAGAGAGAGTGGGGAAAAGTGGGGAAAACGGTGCCCCTCTTTGTAGGAAAAAGGCTGATGTGATTTAAGATGATTTTACGTGCTAAATAGAGGCCTTCAGAGAAGTGCCAAAGCAGCCCTTTTTGTGGGAGTCTTTCACCTCAGACTTCTGGATTGCAGTTTCTCTTTTTAAAAAGGTACTGATTGTTTTTATGGGCTTTTATGGCCTGAAACGGGCTTAAATATATAAATATATATTTGTAAAGACACTTGGCAGAGTAAAGAATGTTTTTCTATTACACCTAATGTGAAAGCTTGGTCCCTCATGTTGACCTCCATATTGAATGTATGGGTTGTTCATTGTCATTGGAGTGGCCTTGACATGAGGACAAGGAGGATTGCTTCCATCCCCACATAACTAGTCTCTGACATAAAATATTTTCTCCTGCTACCTTCTTTTCACAAACTTCCATCCCACCCCAAGTTATTCAAGGTTGAATGTCAACAGGAGAGAACAAGGGATTTCAGGAGAATGGATAGTTTTCCATCAGCTTTTCTGCTTGAGAATTAAGTTGTTTTTGATTATATAGGGTCTATTTTCTTTCTAATGCCACCCCCGCCATCCCTCACAAAAAAAAAAAACATTATTGATCCATCCATGTTTATGATGACACGGTCAAAACTGTTAGTGACATTTTGATTCCTCTCCAGATCTGTTTCATGTTGAGATCCACAGAGGCCATAGCTCTAGGATGTAGATCTATTCATGTCTGATGGGTACCTGAAGTGGCAGTTACCCATCTGCTAACTTGCCTGGTGAGCTTGGAGGCAGAAATGAGCAAGTTGTGTGGCACAAAAGCATCAGGCTTGGGTGGCTTAGCTAAGATGATGGCAGAAATGCAGGGTGACATGGTGTCCCTCCAGAGGCAGAGGTCAGACTTGACTGCAAGAACTCATGGAGGAGGGTCAAGACTGAAGAATGGATGGGATCAAGATACGGTGGCGGGGGGAAGAATAAAAACTTCAAGGAGAGGAGGCAGCTGAGAGCAGCTAATCTATCAATGATGGATTGAAAGCTGTGGAGGTCCTTAATAAAGGTTATGAGAGGGATGTGGCAAACGATGCTGAAACAGGAGGATCAAGGTGCTGCTCTTGGGTGTCTTAGCCATACTTTGCATTGTCTGATGCTTTTCAGCAGAAATTGGAAATACTATCTAGACCTATAAAATACATATATTACATAATGCTCTTGAGCAATTGTATGGTAGCTGATAGATATGGATAGATATGGATTGTGCTAAAGAAAAGCAGTCTTTTTTTTAAGATGGCATGACGTGCAGCAACTTGATGTTGTGTGAATGTGTTTCTCACAATCCACATGCATAGTCAGGCGGTTATATAAATTTGACCTCCCTGCATTTATGTCCTGGAGTAAGACTTGCTCCCAGCTCTGAAATGCCTCCTTTTGAAAGCAGGCAAATACTCAGCTTAAGAAATCTTTGTCCATCAGGCGAACTCCTCTCAGGGTTGACTTATTAGTATTCCAGGATGCAGGCTGAGTCCCTTTGCTTTCAACACAAGAAAGAGAGCTGATATACAGAAGAAGGGAATCTGATATACGGAATCTGTAGTGGTTCTTTGGAGGGAACAAGACCTGCACGCCCTTGCACATCCCTTGATGTGTAAAAAGATAAGGACATTCCCGCAGTCTTTTTCATGTACCATGTGGTGATGCTGCTGGTACTCTGCTGCCTTCTCATGGGTAACTGCACAGCGAATGCATCGTCTCCAGTTTGTGCCTGCAAACAGCAGAGCGAGATGGAGTTGCAGGGAGGATACACTTTGAGGAGGGGGGAATGTGCTTCTCTGCTGACAGAGATGCATTCCTATAAGGAATGGGCCTTGCCTATTGTGGCCTCTGGCTACATCTTGCCTTTGAGCTGTGTTTTATGCCCTGGGGTGGAAAGGGCAATAGCATTAGTTCTCCCTCCTCTTTCCCAAGGCACCAGCTGCTTTCCGAGCTGCAGAAGCAGGACGGTGTGGCTCAGTGCCTCTAGGCCTAAGCTCCCACTGTGCTGTGCTCTACTGTAACTCTGCAGATAACACATCCCTTTTCAGGGTTGCATGAAAGGGACTGACATGTCAGCTTTAGGAAGAGTTTGGAGGGAAAAAAAATCCACTGAGAAACCCAAGAAACATGCAGAGTTTAACAGAATACATACCTGGCTGTATTTTGCATTCAGCTGTCTGCTCTGAGCATTCCTAGGGCAGGAGAGGCTGGATGTATCAAATAACCCAGTCTCCTCCCCTCCTGTTCTCCTACTCCTCCTGTCTCTTCTTCAACCCGGGTATTTCCTCTATGCTCAGCTTCCACTTTGCCTCCACTTTGCTCAAACAAGCTGCTATTCCATTTTGTTTTTAGCTCTTCAGCTTGCTGTGGATCTCCTCTCCAGGCCTGTTCAGTTGCCTCCTGTGCCATTATCCCCTGAGCTCATGGCTTGCCAAAGGTGAGAAACTGCAGGCTCCAAGAATTCTTCCTGTGTTTTCTGTTCACGTGGAGCCAAAAGACTTTGCATGCACTTAGAAATGCTGGTGTTGCCTGCAAGTGACCTCCATATCCTGAAACTCAAACTTCTTGCTGAGATAAGAATAGTCTTGCTGAAACCGTAATTTGTAAGAGGTGCCCCTGTGTGGTGCAGTTCATTTCATCCTACAAGGGGTCAGAAAAGGTGCATCTATTTCTTCCTCTTGGCCATAAAAAGCAGTTTAGATGTGCAGGTCTGTGGTTAGGTCATGCCTAATTAGTTTTAGGCTGTTCCCCCACTTGTAAAATGGAGATCAGGCAGCTGCCTTCATTATCAGGTTTTTGAGATCTGCTGATGTAAAGCACTAGATGAGGCTGGATGTGTGTATGCGTGAACAACTGCTCACACTCTTAGGGTGTTTCCATGGGTGCTAATCAGGTCCCTCTAGTAGCCATCCTGTGGACTGCCTACACTGAGAATCCCCCAAAGTGATTTCCTTGATGAAATTCCCATTGGAAGCTCTGTACTATTTGGCACACCAGATCCTGAGAAATCATACCTTTTGGCTGTTGAGAAGATGCAAGAAGGTCTCCATCCTCAGATACCATCTTCATCTTTTGCTCCCTGCTGTGAAGGCCCCTTTGCACTTCTCTGGCCCCTTGGGATACCACAAGCTCAGTTTGGTGAATCAGAAACACTGAAAGATGCAGCTTGCATGAGAGGCCTGAAGCTGAGTCCTATAGCTCACAGATCATCTCATGTAGCTGATCAAGAGCTTCCAAAAATTACTCAAGTTACTCAAATGCTTTTTTAAGCAAGTTCTATGCAGGTCCTGGACTTGCTCAGCAAACACTGATAGTTCTCCAAGGTCGAGGTATAGGGGTTAAGCACAGTGACTGAAGTATTGTTGTGATGCTTCATCCTCTCGAGTAGGCTCAGAAAAGGTTATAGAAGCCAAAGATCCAGATATTGACTATGCTCTTGTGAGCCTCGGTGAAAGCAAGCAGGAATCTCTCTTGAACTACTTGGGAGGAATTTCTATTTGTTATACCCCTAGAGTAGGCTTGTAACATGGGAACTCATTAGCTCACCTAGCGCAAAGAGGTATAGGGGTTAAGCACAGTGACTGCAGTATTGTTCTGATGCTTCAGCTTCTGGAGTAGTCTCAGAAAAGGTTAGAAGCCAAAGATCCAGATATTGACTATGTTCTTGTTGTGAGCCTTGGTGAAAGCAAGCAGGAATCTCTCTTGAACTACTTGGGAGGAATTTCTATTTGTTATACCTCTAGAGTAGGCTTGTAACATGGGAACTCATTAGCTCACCTAGCGCAAATCTGAGAGTCGTGTCATAGCGTGTATGAGCTTAAAGTATAGCTGTTCCAAAAACACATGCATTACTGTTAATTAAAAGCTGTATAGAGCCCAGTGTTAATGAGCTGACGGAGGTGAGCAACCAGCTGGGTGGAGGATCTGGCTGAGAGAGCCTAGATATGGTCTGAAACGGAGAAGCACAAGGGCAGGCACTTTCTCCAGCAAGAAAAGGCTCAGCTTGAGGGGACCAACAGAAGAGAGTGGCAGCACGTGGTTGTGAAGGGAAGCCCAAGCATGTCAGCTGGGCATAGAAGTAAACAAAGGCAAGAAGCTTCTCTTGTAGCTAAAGCCAAAGCAAGCAGGAGCTGCCGGGGAGGTGAGTGACCCGTGTGCAGCAGTCCTACAGCTTGGTCTGTAGAGAAGCAGACTGTCCTACGCAGATGGCCACCTGCTAAATCAAAACACAGCTGAGCTGGTGACATCTGAAATGAAACTGTCTTCCAGGTTCTCTTTCTCAGCTAAGGGCTGGGACAAACCAACAGTAGGGGATATTCTGGATGATTCATCCTCCAGGAGGAAAAAAAAGTCTTTGTCCTCAACAAGAAAGATAAGACAGAAGCTGGCAAGGCTTCCCTAGGGAATGCTGGAGAGCAGTCTGAATAAATAGTGTTTGATTTTTTTCAACACTGCTTGAAAGATCAAGGAAATGAACTGACTAAACATGTTTTTACATGGGCATTCGGAGTCTTAGGAGTAGGCTTGGAATAGGGGAGATAGCAAGTCTGGCTTTAAATGAAAATATTGATTTTAATTGCCCATAACAGGAACTGGCGGGAGACTTCAATTCCTCCTTTCTTTGTTGGATGAATGTCATGTCAGAGCAGTTTTGAGCCTCCAGTTTTTGTGTTAGGGTGCTTTAAGGGTGCCAGAGTCCTGGGTCCATTGACTCTAGGTGGAGGCAGGACTGCTTTTTCCAGGAGGAGAATGCAACACAGCCCTGGTGAACAGCCTTTTTTCCCCACTTTTGTAAAGCTTATTCTAGTTGTGCGGCTCATTGTGCTCGCACTGGTGCGGTTCGCTTTCAGCCAGGTTAAGTTGTGTCCTTTTTGCTTGTGTTAACAACTCCATTTCGAAGAGGAGGATTTTGGTTAGGAGCTGACAGCTGTGCGATTCCCCATGTTGCAATATCCAAAGAAAGCCCCAGTTGGGAAGACAAAGGTTGGGGTGTAACATAAGTGTGTAGAGCAGATAGTTCACCCTTTTCTGAATGCTGTTTTGCCTAGGAAAAAAGGAACGTGGCTGTGAGGCCGAAGAGCACTACCTTAACAAGAGTATCAGCAATGAAACGTAACCCCCTCTTGCCCTACTCAGCGAGGGGAAGAGCTGAAACCCCTAGGCCTGCTATGTGCAAAGGGCAAGAGGAGAAAGGAGCTGACCTATGTGATTCAGAGACCTTGCTGCAATTCCTGCTGTGCTC